TCAACACCTCACCTGGGAGGCTCACGTCCAAAACCTAAAAACTAGATGCAGCAAAGACCTTAACACACTAAGATGTCTCACCGGCTCTAACTGGGGAGCCTCCAAAGATACCCTCCTCTCACTCTATACAGCACTAATTAGATCAAAACTAGACTACGGCTGTGCCATATCCAATACCCTAAACAACTCTCTAACTAAAATACTTGACTCAATACAATACCAAGCCCTTAAACTAATTACACGCACCCAACATGGCACCTCCTACACCTCACTTCAGGCCCTTACAAGGGAAATGCCACTAAATCTACGCAGGGAACATCTAAGCCTTATTTCTGGGCTGCGTCCCAAACAAACCCTCTCATCCAAAACTTAATTAACCAAAGCATTAGCCCAAGAAACCAAGCTCTAGCTCGCAAACACCCCTTACTCACCCCAATATTCCAAAGAATAACCAACTACCTCAATGAACACCAAACTCAAAATCTTAAACAAAACTGCAAAAAATCAAATATCTTCACCCCTAAACTCAAAATACCCAATATAGACACAACGCTAGTTAACCAAATAAATAAACAAACCGACCCAAATATAGCTAAAACCACCACACTTGCATACATACACGAAAATTGGCCAAATTGGTGTCACATATACACGGACAGATCTTCAGACCCGATCTCGAACCACACAGGCTTCGGAGTCCATACCACACAACCAGTTATATCCACACAATCTTACCGACTCCCTAACAACCAATCTATATTCACGGCCGAACTTATGGGCATGGCCTCAGCCCTGCATAACCAACAATCTAAAAACAACAATAAAATCCTAATTCTCACCGACTCCCTTAGTGGAATACAAGCCCTCCAAAACAAAAATACCCAAAACCGATCAAATTAATAAACCAAATACTTAAAAGCTCCAACGACCTAACAAAAGCAGGCAAACAAATAACCTTCTTGTGGATCCCCGCCCACGTAGGAATTGACGGCAACGAAAGCGCCGATAAAGCAGCTAAATTATCTCTCAAAATACCAGAAATAAGCCTAAACCTACCCATCTCAAAATCAGAAATTAAAAGTGTACAAACAAAAAATAACCAAAAAATGGCATAATCAATATCAAAACTCAAATAGCCAAATCAAAAAAGTACTCAGAAAACCACTAGCCAAACCTAAAATCCTACATCCCTCTAAAAAATTGACAGATTAATTACAAAACTCCAAACAGGACACACGAACCTAAATAACCACCTAAAAAAACTTAAAAGACACACCACAGGAAACTGCCCCAACTGCAAACAACCCGAAACCACAGAACACGCACTCATCCACTGCACCCACTATCAAACACACAGAACCACACTACAAACCACCCTCAATCTAAATAAGGCTCCTACTCTAGATGAAATACTAAATCCTCAAAATAAACTAGAAAACTTCAAGGCCCTAGGCGTATTCCTTATCAAAACAGATCTAATTAAGCGCATCTTAAAACTCATTAATCTACCAATCCAAAATCCAATAAACATACAAACACCCACCTCACCCGACTCCCTTAGTTCCCTCCTCCACCCACCTCGGCATTTATTCCAAATTTAAAAATTCCAAAAATTCAATATAAGCCCCCTCTTGGGTTGCACACACCACTTTCACCCTTTTCGGAATACACTAAATGGTCCGGCCAGGCCCGTGTACGAAATACGCTACAGTCGGAAAGCGCACATTAAATCTCCTACATCAGTCAGTCAGTCAGTCAGTTCTTTACTGTGATACAGATATTTAGCGATATTAATAATGAGCTTTGTGTTGGTTGCAGATAAAAGAATATTAAACTTATGGACATTTGGGTGTAGATAATATTTTGAAGGAATATAGAGATGGCGTAGGTGAGTAAATGCAGGGCACACTAGCAGGAAATGAAACTCGTCAAATGGACATAGTTTGCAAAATCTTTCATCTCGAGGGATGTTAAGTTTTCTACCAGTTTCTATTTCCAGCCAGTGTGCACTGCATCTAAACCTTGACATACATGACCGGAATTTACTCACGGTTACACAATACAAATATTCTTCACACTTCAACGTTAATTTAAAGTGAGAATAGGACATTTTGGAGCTATTACATAAACTTCTATGCCATATTTGTTGAAAATTATCTTTCAAACGTTGAAATAACATCGAAGTAAATACCTGTACATTACCGGTGATTGTCATAACCAAACATCACCGAATCCGAGAGAAAATAACTTTGTTCTAATATTAGTAACCCAATTCTTCTTTCCTTGACTATCGTATAAATACATAATTTCATAACACTTATTAGGTAAGGCGGGTACCCGGCATACACAAAAAACGTAGCCAATATTTAAAAGTTCTCATCATTGCATTGTTATGTAAAGGGAATCTTCCACATTCACCTAATACAGCGCTACTTGATGTACATTGATTAACATTCAAGAACCATTTACACGCATATAAATGAACTTTCTCAACTTCTTCCATTTTATGGAATGCTCATAGTTCTGACCCATACAGTAACATAGGTGATATCTTGGAGTCAAACAATCTGAAAAGATATTTTGGAGAATAAGGTTGTAACAATTAATGCTTTTTAATAGGTTGATTAGTACCATTTTAGCTTAAACTGCTATCTTGCTTAAAGCTTGTGTCCATGAAAGCCAGCTGCTAAAAAACAAATCTAAATATTTATACCCTTGTGTGACTTCCACAAGTTGTCCATTTAGATACCATTTTTCACTTTTTTTTCAGCCGCCCACCTTTCTGAAAAACTACAATGTGAGTTTTTTTCAATATTAACTGACATACTCCAGTCCACACAATACTTATCTAAGATAGATAATTCCTTCTGTAGTCCCCCAATAGTGTCTGAAATTAAAATGAAATCATTTGCAAAGAGCAATAATAAAACTTGTATAATATCGGGATGTAACTGTACTCCATATAGCTGCTCCTGTTCCATTGTGTGTACAATTTCATTTATGAATAATTGAAATAAGAAGGGGCTTAAAACGCAACCTTGTCTAACGCCTAAATTACATTGAAATTGGTTTGACAACAGGTTATTACTTCTGACACATGACTTGACATTACCATAAATTGACTTTAACAATCTTCGTGCTGACACTGTGCTTTCCAAATACTTTCCACAAATAAGAACGACGGACAGAGTCAAACGCCTTTGAAAAATCTATAAAGGCTACATATAACTTACGGCCAGACATACCTAAATATCGTTGAATAATAGCATTTAAAATAAATAGATTGTCAATTGTCAAGTGTCCTCGTCTAAAGCCAGATTGACATTCTGATATTTTGTCATACATATCTGCCCAAAAAACTAATCTATTATTTAATATACTTGTGAACATTTTAGACAAAATACTCAATAAACTAATAGTTCTATAGTTATCTTTGATTAATCTTGAGCCTTTTTTTATGTAATGGGATCATAACACCTGTATCCCAGTCTTTAGGTAAAACACCACTATCAAAGATACAATTGAAAATTATCTAAACATTAGGGACAATGTTAGGTAGTGCAAATTTCAGGTATTCTGGGAGAATATTGTCCATACCAGGTGATTTTGAGATTTTGAGAGAATTAATGCTGTCAATAGTTTCATCTTTAGTGATTGGTCCATCTGAGATGTCGCAGGAGATTTCCTCGCTTTCTATTATTAGTGGGTCGGCTTCGTCGTTTAAGAAATCACTATCTTCTTCAATTGTAGATTGGTTAAATAAATGTTCAAAGTAAGGGATTCCAAATCAGATTTTATTTGCCTATTGTCTTCACGAACTTCTATTAAAAAACTCCGTGATTCAGACACTTGACTATTTGTGTCCTTACACATCACCTCCAGTGAATAGTATTTCTTTTCAAAGGCTATCATCTGTGTTCGAACTTCTCTCACTGTTGCACGTATTTCTTTCTTGTTTTCCTCCATTTTACTGAACAGTGCATCCTTCAAACCCATTAGTTGTTCCTCCACGGTCGGGCCTGGTTGCTTCTCAATATCACCAGCAATGTGAAGTAGTCTTCTCAGGGCAATACTTATTGCCATTCAGACTGAAGGTGACAGATCACCACGTGTTGTACTCGATGAGTGGCGGTATAAGGGGGTGAACATGTCAACACTGTCAAAAGGGGGGCACAGAACGATCATGTTGAGTTTTGGGGCACACAATAAAGTAGCATTGCCATTTTCAACCTCATTACCAACTGCGTTTACACGCAAAACACCAGCTGCAAAAGTCGCCAGTAAAATCCCCATTCACGAAAATCGAAACATTAAGTCATTCATCCATGACCAGCGCGACATGGGGTCATATTCATCAACATTCACACGGTGTTGATGACAAAATAGTCGTTGTTACCTTCTACTGTACGGTGCTAAGTTCAGTGAGAAACCATCTCATCAAAGAATACACATAGAATGAAGATATTGGCTCTTGTACAAGGACTCTCGACATGTAGTCGTAGTTATCACTTTATGACATTGTTGTATATACATTCTGGCACGAACTCAATTACTTGAGCAAAACTATACATTTGTGGACACTTGAGATCAATTTGCCCAGATACGCTCGTTTCGCTTTAGTATTCTGCAATCCATTTTTAGTATTACCCGCTTGCCAGGCCCGGCCCGGCCCGGCCCGACTTTTTGCAATCCCGGCAAATCACTATTCCAGGTTCATATAATCGACGGCAACCTTCAGACATATTTCAGAAATCTCTCAAATTAGAGTTCTAACTATTGTAATGTAATGACACTATTTTGACCACAGATTCATTCAGAAACACATCCTTCATTTCAGAGCTTCCCTTTTAAAAACATTGGATTACAGTGTGTATTCACACCAACAATTTAAATTTAATCATATTCCGTATTTAAATTTCCGTGTTTTTTTTATTAACCGGTTATTTTATCGCATTACATGTTTTTCTAACGAAATTGTTGACTGTTTATCCCACTACTGGTCGCTACATACGTGTTAACAATGGAGTCATTGAGAATGTTTATACTGATAATAATTATCACGAATATTCCACAGCATAATAATGTTTCGTTCTTGTGTGACATAATTTCAACTTTTGGAAATGTCACCGGAAGTGTGTTCCTAAATTACGCGGGAGAAAACGTACATGGAGTGTTGACATTTTATGTTGATGTTAACCATCCAAAATGTCTGTAAAACAATCAAATCTGTTCTCGTTCTTCTCAAAAACGCCAAACAAGGTTCCTAACAACGAGACACCTAAGAAAGACGTGTTGTCACCACGTCGATCACCAAATTCGGGAAAAAGGAAAACCCCCACAACCAATGGGAACAGGAATGTCACTGACACTGACCCAGGTATTAATAAAATAACCATGTGAGAAAGAGGATGATGTATAATTTTAGGCCATATTTCAGTTTACCGGTTGCTGCTTATAGCGCTATATAATGGCTCAAAGGTGCCGGCTTAGGATCTGCGTGCCTCTTCGATCCTTCGGTTAGGTTACCCCTATCTCTATCCTTAGCAGCTAAGTTAGCTCATGGATCAGCAGTGGATCCCCTTTCCGATAATTAGGGTTAGCATAGTTAGGTACCACTTTCCGAGAACTTATTACTCAACCCACTCACCTAAGGACTCACCTCAGTTGGTGGACGATTGAGTCGAACGTTTTCGGAGGCGTCTCCTTATCCGGGGTAATCCAAACGCCACACCTGTTCGAAGTCGCCTCCCAACAGGGGTGGGGAGCACATCTACAGGACCATGCTGTGGTCCGGCACACAACATACTAGGTACATCAACAACCTGAGTTGGAGGCTCTCATTCTGGCAATATCACATTGGCAGGAGTGCCTACAGAATACTCAAATCGCAATCTCCACGGACATCAGCATGGTGGTTTGCTGTGCAACCAAGGGACAACGCACTCTCACTCCCTGCTTCAACAGACGTTTTGGTACTTTTATCTGTTGGATATTCCTGGATGTCGGGACATTCTGGCGGATGCCATATCCAAACCAGACAGGGCTATTTGGCTGGGGTATCACAGGCCATTGCCATGGTGCATCTTAAGTTGACCAAAGTTCCGGTACTACAGGCCCTCCTACACTCATAGCGAATCAGAAGGCCAAATTCCCCTGCTTCGTATTTGAATGTGGTACTTCATGGGTTATGTGGGCCTCCCTTCAAGCACCTCCACACAACATCCTTTTTTAACCTCACCAAGAAGACATTTTTTCTCTTGGTTTTGGCCACAATGGCATGGGTTTGAGTTTACATGCACTCGATATTACCTGTCCGTTTTGAGTGTGGTACGCAGTCATCCTTCAGGCATAAGAGATCGCTAACCTTAATTCGCAGAGAGCAAACAGTCTTCACGAGATAAGGGCGGTTGCCTCAAACATGGCTCTACATAGCAAATGTTCTATTAGAGCAATCATGGAAGGATGTTTTTGGAGTTCTGACACTGTCTTCGCTAGCCATTATCTAAGAGATGTGGCACTTGAAGACTTTGAAGGCATTTGTACCTTAATGTTTTCATTTACAAGGACTTATCCTCAACTCTAGTGTTCTTTCCGTAGACAGCATTATCTAGCAATACCGATCGGCGCTGGACACGCCATATGGTCCCCTTGACACACTTCTTATGAGGGGTTATGTATATTGAAGATAACATTTGAAGGTATGCCAGAGGCATCCGATACAGATGCATTAAGGATTGATGCAGGATAAGCAAAGAATGTTGTTAAATCTATATATTTTTTACATTTGTATGCTTATCCTCGTTACTATGTCTAAGAGCCCGACCATCGCAGACTTGCCTCTCCACTATCACTTCAGAAAATAATTATGGATGACAAGCAGAAATGTGGTGAGACGTGACATCACTTCTGTCGATCACATGACAGCTGTGCGAGGTGGTTGTGACAAGTAGACTTGTTGAAAACAACCTTATTTCAGCTTAGGACCATTGCACAGTGCTGTTTGTGTCATTGTGTTAGCAGTAGAGGCATTAAGGAGTATTGGAGGATAAGTATACAACTGTAAAACATATTTACATTTTACTAATATACATGCTTTCTGAAGCCTTATGTGTATGTTTTTTTCAAATTGTAAAGAGTTTCATCTATTATTGTAATTATTCCTCAAGTATTTCAGCTGCAGAGATGTATGGTTCTAATTTGCAAATGTTTTTTGTGTTGCCTAGAGTTTGAGCTTGGTGCTGTTGTATGGGCCAAGTTGGAGGGGTACCCATGGTGGCCAAGTCTTGTGTGTAATCATCCAACTCAGAAGAAACATGTCAAAGGAGGAAAACAAGTCCAGCTGCATGTGCAGTTCTTTGATGACCCTCCTTCTCGGGCCTGGATCCGGGCAAAGTAAGATGGCACTCTTTCATGCTAATCAACTTTTCTGAAATAACCTTTTTTGTGAAATACTTGTAATACAAAGATACCTGAAATATTTTACTTACATATGATATTCCAACTGTACAATACATCCTGTACATATTACTGAAACACATGCAGTGGTGGTTTCTTTTATATATGTGATTGCTAGCAATGGTTCTGTACCTGGACCTGTAAGAGTTACACCTGTACTGGTAGGGTTGTCTGATACACCTACAGTTTTGTCACTGAACCTCTGAGCATATGTTTAAGTCATGTCTAGGAATGTAAGAAATCATTTTCCCAAATATGGCAATGGCTTCTCAGACCATACATTCATAAATACAGGAAAGGTTTCTGTACCTTTAGATGTGAATATGGCAATGGTCTGTTAAGATATGTCAAGGCCTACAAAGGCTCGGGTGACAAGGCGTTCCAGCGAGGGGGTCAGTTCCACTGCCACGACGCTGAGTGTTACGAGGGGGCACTGAAGGCTGATGCTGCTATGAAGATGAGTGTGGAGGAACGACTGTCCACTCTCATTGTGGACCTTCAGCCATCAGACAGTGAGGATAGCGCAGAGGAGGCAGCGGAACTCATCGACCTGGACCGTAAGTAGAACAATATCTTCAAGAGGGATGGCTACCAGAAGGAATACGGGACAACGATGAATTTAGAGATCAGTACATTGTGGTTAAGAGGATGTTGGATTTCTAAAGTAAAGTGATTTATTTCAGCTGACATTTTTGATGCGGAGATGCAGGATGATGAAGCAGACAACAGCAAGGAAAATCATAATGACAGCATCAAGACTGATGACAGCAAGGTAACCTATGAGGATGTTTATATCAAGATGGATAACACATAAGATTTGTTTGTTTGTTGTTTAATGCCGCACTCAGCAAGATTCCCGATCCCATAAGTCGCCTCTTACGACAAGCATGGGTTGCTGAAGACCAATTCTAACCATGCTAACCCAGATCTTCATAGGTTGATAACACTTAAGAAACCAGCATTGTCCCATTTAGTTTAAAGAAAGGACTTTGGACACATAACTAACAATGCTATACTTAGCGGTACCGTATTGGACATAATAAGGGGCTGAAGGTGCTCTCAAAATTGGAAATAGGGGGCGCTTATAAGAAAATAATTTTGTGGTTTGGCAAACACAGAAATCGATCGCTCTCAGTATTGTACCCCTTTAGATATGTATGCTCACACATATCAACTTACATATCTAAGTATTAGTGAGAATGCAACTCCTCATTAAAGATGAGTAAAAATGATCGTTGATGCCCATCGTTCCAAAAGGGAAGTACTGGTAATCAGCAGGTAAAGTTGAAAATAAAATATGAACATCCTCTTAGTGTTTGTGATTTTCAAATATCACCTTACATTACTTACCATTACTTTTTTGTGATAATGACGATATATTACTGCTTCTTTTCTGTCAGCTTTTCATTTGTAAAATTAATTTGAATACTTTTTGTCAAAACATGTTTTTGGTGCTGGTCATGACCGGTCAACAATTTAACAATCGATATATCCAGTATGTGAATGAAAATACTACAACCTACCTGAGATTAATTTATAAACATTTTCTGAATAAATTTCAAATATTCTAAAATGTACATCTAGTTTTTAATTAATCATCATTTTCAGAAGCAACATAACTTCCCACAACACCACTGCCACAGGCTAATTTGCATATCACGTGACCAGACTTTTCTCTTGTTTTTAAACACACGCTGAAATCAAAACAGACTGAGGCCCTTGCATAATGTTTTGCATAATTATTTGCTACTAAATCTGCGACTGAGGTGCATGACAATTTATATTTTTGCATCAAAGGCATCTTATCTCTACCTCTCCGTATGGCTTTGATGACAGCATCCGGTGTAAACAAATGAAAACTACACAAATGTAAATTTTTAAACTTATCCTATCTCACACTATGCATTTCCTCTAATTCTTCGATCTTGGTGTGGAAACGTCCTGGAACAAAGTTTCCAGCTTCAAAAACACCACTCACCCAAACACATCCCTTACATCACCAATCACCACTGTGATCATGGTTCACGCACCACTAAAATCCCAAGCGACACGACCCCAGCGACCTGATCACCTGACATATCCAGCACCCTCATTCTCAATTCTATCGCTATGGTGTTCGGACGTTATTCTTGAACAGAGAATTTTTTATTTCTTTTATATATATATAAAATTTAAATACACAGCCTCACTACTAAAGTTTACCATTACCACGAAGAGAGAGTGGTTAAATCGCTATCCGTAGAGGAGGATCGCTTTCCGTCTCGTTTGACTGCTACGATTTCTGCCTCTGTTGGGACCATGCCCCTGTGCACGTGCCCGCTCCCTGGCTTCTACAGTCGTCCCGCATTTAAATGGCCAGTTCATCGTGTTGGACTATGGCCCTTTACTCAGCTTGGGAAGTCAAGCCGTCAACTGAGGGTTGCCTCTTCCCCCAACACGCTTGTTACTCGGGTCATCACTCATGGTTCCCACTGCCACTGGAAAACCTGGAAAACCTGGAAATGTGTTGGAAAAAATTCCAGTCAGGGAAATATCAGGGAATCCACTAAAAACTTCAAAATCAGGGATTTATCAGGGATTTATCAGGGATTTTTTGCTCTTGGAACTCATACTCTCTATTATTTAATGGTTGTGGCAGCCACTCAAATTTAAGCAATGGAGTTTATTCGTTTGAAAAAGAGGTATTTGTCAAATTTTACTATATCAAGGTCAAGGTCAATGTGGCTGATAGGGATTTGCGCCCCTTACCTCCAGAGCTAACTAAATTCTAAATTTAAAATATTTTGAGTAAAATATTACATTGCCTTGGTATTAGTTTACCATTTGAATTTCAGAAATCAATTTAAATGTAAAATTTCAAATCTCATAAAGTTCTACTGTTCAAGAACAAACAAAATAATGCAATTAGGATTCTATAAATTTCTTTGTTAATGAAAAGTGTATCAGTGTTAGATAAATCATTGGAAAAACTTAGGGTGACTTCAGTTGTGGTTATAATTATCTATTCCCTGGTGACCTTTTGAAAGTGCAGATGTATATTTGAATGGTTAGTTTGTGAAATGCTGTGCATGAATGTTGCACTGAAAGTAGTGATGGTATTTACTTTATTATAATGTTACTAATTAGTTCATGTTCATGTTTCTAAAGTTGTGAGATCCTAGTCCTGAAGTACATTTTCAAAAATTGTAATACTTGTTTTGATTAGGCAATGATTGATGGAGTTAATTTGTAGTTTGAACTCTTTAAATGGTGGCAGATGGATGGCCTTAAGGGGAGGATAATTACTTGGTGACTTAGTTTTCCTTAAACCAAACATAACACACTTTTGTACAGAAATATCTAAAAAAAGACGTTTCCATTGGTCTATTTTAAAGCTGTTTATATAATAAAGTTAAAACACCACTCCCAGTTGTTATAATGGAGGCCGTGTAATGCAGTCTGGAAAAGTTCTAAGTTCTCTGGAAATGTCAGGGAATTTTTCGGAAGAAAAAAAGTGGGAACCATGTCACTTCTACAGCGCTCGGAGGATACAGCTACACCTCTCCGGCTTTCTAATGGCGACAACCCTTCTGACCGAAAACACTACAATTGTCGGCGAGGAAGTGATAGCCAACTGACGACGGATCTTCACTCACAGGATCGTCATCTTAGGCTTGATCGTAACGACCGAGTGTTCAAGGGATCATTGATGACCGAGGGATAGACAGATCACCTTACTTCACCATTATCGATAAGACACTGATATTGGATGGACAGTCCATCAGATCGTACCTCTGAAGATCGACAGTTTCACCTCTCCTACAGATCGATACCGAGAGATCTCCACTCTACGATACACATCGATTCGTCGACACATGGATAAATCAATACATCAACATATCGTCCGATCAAGAATTCGTCTGCTAGTACGACTTTACCTGCAGGAAGCCTCGGTGGCTGAGTGGGTTAGATCGCTGACTTTGTGTGCTGGCGATAAGGTCCCTTACTCTGGCATTGTGGTTCGAATCCCGGACGGGACTCAACCCCATAAAGTACAAGCATGTACTTTACTGAGAAGATGTTATCCCAGATATAACTTTTGCTATATACAAGAGACGAACAACGGATCGTCCTCAGTCATAAGATCGTCATTCTTCCACGGAATCAATAGACCTCTCTCTCAGCGTGCATCAGACTTCTATACGCTAACTTGGACAAGGCCTTCGCTGCATTCCGTTGTCTAGATCAGACAATCCAGTGATTGTCATCACGAGCATCGGTCTACGTCTTGGGATACGATGACCTGCACCATCCATATCAGCGAACTTGACCAACTGGTCTTGTTGGTCTCTTACAGGCATAGTCACCTCGTATGGGGAGCTTGAGATACTGACGGCTTTTCTCTACCGGGATCTTCATGGATCCGGTCCACGTGCCTGCCAGCCTTGAATCATCTTACGATCCTCTCCTATGAGAAATCACCATTACAGGGTTATGAAGACAAGACAATGCGCTCCCCCTATTCAGATTTGAATCATCAGACAGACATCATCCTGAGGCTCGATATCACTGCAGCCGACATCTATCATCGACTCCAATCTTTGACACCCACGATTTCAACCTGATATTACATAACAGGTTATGACGCTCGAGACAACACGCTCCCCCATACAGATTTAAATCTTCAGACAGACGACATCATCCCGAGGCTTGATATCATCGCAGCCGACCTTTTTCATGGACGCCCTCGATTTCAACCTGATATTCCATAACAGGTTATGACGCTCGAGACAATGCGCTCCCCTATACAGATTTGAATCGTCAGACAGACATTATCCTGAGGCTCGATATCACTGCAGCCGACATCTATCATCGACGCCAATCTTTACGATCGACGCCCTCGATTTCAAACTAATATTCCATAACAGGTTATGCTGCTCGAGACAACACGCTCCCCCATACAGATTTAAATCTTCAGACAGACGACATCATCCCGAGGCTTGATATCATCGCAGCCGACCTTTATCATGGACGCCCTCGAATTCAGCCTGATATTCCATATAAGTTGGCGCGTCTTTTCTGCCCTCGGCGTGGTCAACCTACACCATTCTAACAGACGATTCAACGGGGGAGTTCGTCCATCTTTCATCGGTACAAACAGCAGATGTTTGATGTCTGAAGATGGTTTCTAGCACATCGGTTTCGTCCCATATTCTACAAGCAACTGACCACCTATACACCGATGTTTTTCGTTACTCGGGACAGCGCTCGTGTTTCTGCGCAAGGGTGAATTACACATCACACCGAGATTGCTGTTTGTAAACAAGACTACCATGCAGACTTTGGCTGATCTCATGCGAGCCGTTCGAAGCATTACAGTTGTTGTCAATGACTATACGTGCGGCCTTTCACATCTTCACAACTCCTTTTGTCGTCGCATCAATACCGGAATGCAAAGCGCTTTTTTGGGCCATCATCTCTTCACCAGTTCCACACGTAACCGATCAACCTAGCAGGACATGTCATCCCCCACTTATTCAAGACGAGAGTGAACATCGACATTTTTTAAATATTTTTTTTCTTTCGGTATATGATCCTAATGTTAGCCACGTCCATTCAAGGCATGGTGTTTGCTACTACTGCTCTTCAATGTGGTTCGAATTACCCTGCTTCGTACGATCAGCCAACTGGTAAACTACATCTTCAGCACCGTTTTTCTATGAGATACTAGATCACACGCACGACAGTCAAGTTTTTACCATCGCTTTATAACACAATTTTTGTGTAATGTGT